CCATAAAAAGAAAAAAAATTAACTTGGCTTTTATCAAAATCAAAAAAATTTTGCTCTTCAAAAAACACCATTTAGAAGTCAAAAAGGAAAGCCATAGACTGAGCAAGAAGGTACAACAACACATATATCATAGGACTTGTATCCAGAATATATAAAGAACTCTTACAACTCAATAATATGAAGACAAACTCAGTAAGAAAATGAGCTAAAAATGTGAACACTTTCCAAAAGAAGACATACCAATAAGCCTACGGGAAGATGCTCAACATAAAAGTCATCCGGGAAATGCAAACTAAAACCACAATGAGAAACCACTACACGCCCATTTAAAAAAAAAAAAAAAATTGCCGACAAATCAATTCCGACTTATAGTGACCCTACAGGACAGAGTAGAACTGCCCCACAGGGTTTCCAAGGAGTGCCTGGTTGATTCGAACTGCTGACCTTTTGGTTAGCAGCCGAACTCTTAAGTACTCCACCACCAGGGTTTCCCACTACGCCACCAGGGTTTCCATAAGAAGGTCTAAAAAAAGAAAAGGAAAAAATGACCATACCAAGTGCTGTTGAGGACCTGGAGCAACTGAAACTCTCATAAAGTAAAATGATACGCCCACTTTGAAAAGTCTGTCAGCTTCTTATAAAGTTAAATATATATTTAGTATACGACCCAGCACTCCCACTCCTAGGCGTTTACACAAGAGAAATGAAAACCGAAGTCCACACAGAAACCTATACGTGTATTCATAGCAGCTGTATTTGTCAGAGACAAGCAGAAAAAAAAACAAAAAACTGTCTATCACCTGTTGAATGGATAAACAGGTTGTATAATATCCATACAATGGAATACTACTCAGCAATAAAAAGGAACTATTACCACATGCAGCAACATAGATGAATCTCAAAAGCTAGCCCCTCCCAAAGAAATACATACTGTATTATTCCGCTTATATAAAATTATAGAAAATGTAAACCATAGTGACTGAAAGTAGGTCAGTAGTTGACTGAGGATCGGGTAGGAGGATGGAGGAATTACAAAGGGACACAAGGAAACTTTGGGGGTGATGGAAATGTTTGTTACCTTAATTCTGGTGAAGGTTTCCTGGTGTCTACATACATAGAACTAATCATACTTTAAAATGTGAAATACACTATATGCTATGGATTGAACTGTGTTCCCCAAAAAAGATATGCTGAAGTCCTATCTCCTGCCATCTGGGAATGTGACCTTGTCTGGAAATGGGATTTTTTGGTTGTCATTAATTCATGTTTCTATTTCAGTCATGTTATGAAGATGTTAATGATACAGAGAGAAGATGGCCAAGTGAAGATGGAGGCAGAGACTTTGAGTGATACATCTAAAAGCCAAGAAACACTAAGAATCACCGGTAGTCATCAGAAGCTACGAGAGAGGTATGGAAGATTCTCCCTTAGAGCCCTCAGAAGGAATCAACATGGCTGACACCCTGATATCGGACTCCCAACCTCCAGAACTGTAAGCAATAATTTTCTGTTCTTACAAGCCACCCAGTTTGTGGTACATGGTACTTTGTTACAGCTGCCCTAGGAAATGAATAGTGTACTTCAATAAAGTTGAAAACGATATATATTCTACTCACTAACAAGTGAAAAAGGGAGCTTATCAAGTTATAATCCTAGAAATAGCCCTATCAGTATTTCCAGAAATATGATCTTAAGACTAATGCAAGTTTCCGAGTACAGCTGGGTTTTCTCAAGGTAAAGGTAGAGACTGGGCATAGATCAGTTGTGGGAGATGAGATGGTGGGGTAAAAAATAAAATATCTGAAAGATAGAGAGTCCTGAGTGCAAAGGACACTAAGAATCAGATCCGCTTTCTGATGCTCATGGACATCAGAACTAGGGAATTGATGAATGGCTTTAGAGACTCTATAAAAACCCAGTTGTGTGTGAATTTTTGTAGAAGTATACATTTGGGGGGAGGGGAGAAGGACTTTCATTGTAAGAAATATGGGTATAAAGGAGTGCATACTCCCTAAATGTAAGAATCCCTTTACAATCATTCATTCACTAACAGTCACTGAGATTTCATTTTGTGCTAGACATTGTGTTAGGTGCTGGGATTATTGAGCAAGACCTGCGCTGTCCTTGCCCTCATGAAGGGTCCAGTCTAATACAGGAGATAAGCATTAAGTAAAAAGTTACACACATACATGTATTTAAAAATTACAATTGTAATGTTGCTATAGAGTGGTTGTTAGGTGCTGTCTGGCTGATTTTGACTCATGGTAACCCCATCTGACAGAGCAGAACTGCCCCATAGGGTTTTCTTGGCTGTAATCTTTATGGAAGCAGATTGCCAGATCAAAATAGAGTAGTGCAGGAGAATCTAGCTTAGTCAGAGGATTCCATGAAGGTCGGTTAAGGGACACTATAAGGGTGAATGGGATATTGTCAAAGAAATGTGGGGGAAGAGGATCTTGGGTAGCATTTGTAAAGGACCAAGTGTGGAGGTAAGTAGCTTGGCACGTTCAAGAAAGTGAGACGGCAGCAAGGCTGGAGTTTAATGAGTGAGAAAACAAGTGGCATGAGGCTAGAAAGGCAAGCGGGAATCAGATCTTACTGAGCCTTACTGGCCATGTCAAGGATTTGGTCTATGTACCAGGAGCAACTGCAAACCACAGAAGGGTTTTAAGCAGACATCCAGGCTGTTTGCTTTGTGCCAGTTTAAGAACAGTAACCCTGTGTTCCCTGACCCAAATTTGGGTCATGTAGTACCATGTTTAGATATTGGAAAGGCAACAATCCTCTGTTTCTGAGATCTGGTCTCGTCTATTAATCAGGGTTTAATTTAGAGTTTCCAGGCTAACTGATATGTTGGACATATGTTCTCTCACAAACTCGGAATTGTCTATGGTTCCAGAATTGTTAGAAACATCAGGCCTTGGCAGTGTTGCTAAAGCTGTACTGTGGTTAACAGGGTAGAGACTCTTATTTCTTCTTTATTCTAAACCCTTATAAGCACACTCTTGGTAAACATGCAGCCAGGGAACAGCTTTGAGGAAACTGGGCTGTTCATAGGCTTTGTTCCTTGAAATGATCGATATATGTCAATCAGGTCAAGTTAAATCATTTACATGTATTAATTCACTTAATCTCAACAACAGATCATTGTGGTGTTCTCCAAAAACCCTGTGAAGTAGGGAAGGCAGATTGACAGTTCACCCCCTTTCTGCAAGGAAGCAGAGTCTCAAAGGGAGTTTGTGGGCCAGTGGGCATTATGGTCGTGAGCTGGTCTTCCAGGCCAGAGCTGGGTTTAGAACCAGGCTCACCCACTTCCTAGCTAGGTGCCTTGGAGCAAGTTGACATCACCTTTAATAGGTGAAAATACGTATCTCCTTTTTTGAAAGTTATTAATATGACTTTTCATATTCTTAACGTTAGCTTTTGTACATATACTTCACGTCTTTTGTTTGGGTTGTTCACCTTTTTTCGGAATAATTTATGAGCCCATACCTGTTTGAGAAAAAGGAACCTAGTAATTATAATTTCTTATTAAGCTTTACATTATGGGATTAAAAAAGCACTGTGATTAGCAAGAAAAAAAAAGTCTCAAAGAAAGCAGCCATTTAAAGAAAACCAATAAATGATTTTAAATATATATAAATGTCAAATTGGCAAAATGTTTAAAGTTTAAGACACCAAACTGTTAAGAGTATGTGAAAACAGTTACTTTCAGTTGCATGAATATACTCAGCGCCGTCTTTCTGGGGAGCTGCCAGTATCAGAACGTATATACCCTTTGACTGAATTATCTCAGTGTTAGGCATTTACCTCACAAAATTACTTACAAAAGTATTGGAGACATATAGGAAGATGTTCACTGAGGCACTGTTTACATGATAGGAGATAACCAGAAAAAAATCACAAGTTGGGGACAAACAAGACTGGTTAAAAATACTATGGAACATCCATAAAATCGAGTATTTGCTGAAAATAATGAAGGGAAACTGTATGTAGTGACTTGTTAACTGAAGACATGACAGTACATTAGTTGAAAAAACAAAGTGCTGAACAATGTATACCAGTGTGTACAAAAAAATTATAATTTTTTAAGAATAAATATGTAGCTATACACTGGTAAGTAGATTTAAACTTCCTCCTGGAAGAAAACACAAGGAACTGTTAACTGCTGTTGAGCACCGAGTAGGGAGACTGGCTGGTGGAAGGCATTTTCTTCCTCTACTGTTTGCAGTGTCTGCCCACGTACATGGATTACTTTTAAAATGTATTTTTAAGGTCAACAGGATAGTTGCTGTTTTTTCTTTTTATGGCTTTTATTTTACAAAATCTTAGTATTTAAAAACTGAATTTTAAAACCCTAAAGTTTAAAAAACATATGATCCAGAGATGGCGTGAGCCAGTGTTTCCAACAGTTTTTACGAGAAGAAAGTGCTAGAGTTAAAGGTAGGGAAGAGGCCCAGCCTTGTTAGCACTTGTTGGGCCCAATTCAGGATCCTTTCCTCCATCTTGGAGACCAGATCGTACTGGTTAAGGACCTTCTATCGGTTCCCTTCCCTCTTTCAGTGCATCAGGTGGCATGACACAGTGGTCTTCTCTGCCCACTCATTCCCTTTGTTAGTGCTGATTCTACGTAGATAACAAAGCAGGACCACGAGAGATGTAGGCTCCTTACTAGCCATTGTTATGGAGTCTGCACACAGCCTCACCAATAGGAAAGGTTTTCAATCAGCTTCTTTAAAACATCATTCGCAGGCTGAAAGGACCACCTGCAAAGCAAAGGTGCTTTTCCAGCAAGATGTGACCTAAAGCTTGTATGATTTTTTTTAAAACCTCAAGTATGAATGACTGCTGCTGTGGTAGCTTAATGGCACGGGAACACATGGGCCATCAGTAGCGTCCCTGGGTCAGCCCCAGGTCTTACTGCTGGTCAGGGAAAGGGGTGCAGTCACCCTCAGAGGTTGTCTCTTGACGCCCCACATTTATGAAACCCCAGACCCAAAAAGAAAAAATATCTCGATAGTCCTGGTTAGTCCACTCATTGTTTTTATTTTTATTCAACTATAAGCAAACAGCAAAATGAACACAACATTCAGCAACTCCAGGTCAGCTTTACTTAAACCAGTGAAGAGTGATCATTTTGACGGGAGCACAGATTCAAGCACTGACAAACTCTCCCCCCGCCAGCACTGCTGTTCGTCCAAAAGGCCAGGCCTCAACATCAGAAAAGTGGGACTCCCTTAAAGATTCATTGATGCTTTGCTCTACTGTTACAGACTTGGTCTTTTTACCTGGATTTTCTTCTTTAAATTCTGGGTTGCTATTTTTACAGTTAACACTTTGATGGCCCCATCACAGTAACAAAACATCCCCCAAAATGAAGTTCAAATTTGATCAAAACATAAACTGGGATGTGTGACCTTCTACAAGTATAAAGGACAGGCAGCAGGAAAAGGCCCTAAACCACTATCTGACTTCAAAGTCTCACCTGTGACAATGGGAGCTGGGAAGAGGAGAAATCTACATGCATCACTGAATTTGAGAAGACTGCCCAGGGCCTCCAGAATAGTTTCCTTTCTCAGCTTTCCCCTACTTCCCTGACAGCTGCTCGTAGAGTTTGGGCACATAGTTGTCCCATTCAGCCTGGTAACATGTGCCAGCAACCGGGGACCCGAGCTTGTACTTTTTGCGGAAAGATGCCACCTTGAATTTGCCACGGTTGTCTCCAGATCGGTTGCTAAGAATGGGCTCATCACACTTCAGTGGCCTGTCCTGCTCATAGACCAGCCAGACATAGCGGTGGAGGCCTGGAGGGAGAAACGGAAGATATAACACAGCTAGGCATCTGGGATGGCGAGTGTCATCCATCTTCTTAGAACATTCTACCTTGAAGGGACCCCAAACCAAACCCACCGTCGTCGAATCAATTCCAACTCAGAGAGAATATTTAAAATGTGAGTTACTCACAAAAGAAGATACAGGAGTGGTCAATAACCATTAAAGATACTCAGTATCATTAATCAGAAAGTATATAAACACTAAAACCACAAAATGATACCATTTCACAATGCCCCGAATCAAAAAGACTGACAACACCTAATGTTTGCACACATATGGACCTAGGGGAATGTTCCTGTACAGCTGATTAGAATATAAAAATTTTCAACCATTTTGGAGAACTCTTGCACAACATCTTATAAAATTAGCCGCATAACTGTCTATGACCCAAGAATATGACTCCTAGATATTTACCAAGAAATGAAAACACATGCTAATAAAATGACAAGAATGTACACAACAGCTTTATTCATAATACCCAAACACTGGAGACAACCCAAACGCCCATCACCAGGAGAATGGCTAAGCAAACTGGTCTAGTCACACAAGGACTACTACTGAGCAATAAAGAGGAATGAACTACGGATACAAACATGACAGATAAATCTCAGACATTATCCCGAGTAAAAGACACCAGTCACCCAAACAAAATGCATACTCCATGATACCATTTGTATGCATACAAGAACTGCAAAAGTAATCTATAGAGATAAGAGTCAGAAAATGGTTACCTCTGGGGAAATTTAACGGAAAAGATCACACAAGAACTTTCTGGGACGATGGAAATGTCCTATATTTTGTTTTTGATGGTGGCTACATCAGTGTATGCATCAGTCAAAATTCATTAACTGAGCCCTATGATCTGTGCATTTCATCCTATGTAAATTATACCTTACTAAAAGCATGAAAAAAGCAACAACAACAACAAAAAAACAGTCACTGAGGCTTTTTTTAAAAAAAATGAAAACACAGCTCCTACTTGAGAGAACTGCTTTACTCTCATGAGAATACTTCCCATAATTAAACTACCTAATTTTATAATTGCCCTAGAGAACTTAATAGATCCCTGGAAAATATGTCCCTTTAACTTCCGATTACGTATGCATGAGAAGACAAGAAGCCATCTGCAGCTTCTGGGTCTACAAATAAAACGTGAGTCCATGACCAACTGTTCTTGTCAGGGACCCCCTTGTACCTCTTCAGACTAACTCATGGCTGGACAACGTGTACGAAAGCTACTATCCTGCCACACCCCACCCATCACTATTTCTTCGTTCCGGAAAATGAAAAGATGCTGTAATGCACTAGAGATAATAATAATGCATCAGCTTACTGTTATTAGTAATAATATTAGCAGCTTAGGCAACACTAACCCAGCTTGGAGAGTTTCAATGCTATGACCTGTCTCTCTCTCATTTATCTCAGATAACATATGTAATATAATGCAATACAATATGTATGGGGGTATGTTCAATAGTTCTGAAAAATCTTTCCAAGGTCACCGATTAAATCTGTGAGAGAAAGAAAGAGGGAGCCATAAAAAGATAAAAAAGCCAGTTTGTTTTTTAATAATTAATTGGCAACTATGCCATTTCCTCAACCTTGTATAGGAATTAGAAACTCAAAGACCACACAGCATAAAGGCTAGATAGAGAAATGAGATGGTTTAACTGTGTTCAGTCCACGTGCAGCCCTCTAGAAGGCCATTCCAGACACTGTACAACAGCGCTTCCTTGGCCCACTTTCTTGCTTACTAAAGGCCAAGGGCTGAGAGATAATTTTACATAGACGGTCCATCTGATGCCAGAACCCAAGGTTCTAAACACTGAACACCACTGCAGGTCTGAATGGGCTCTGGGAGCCGACCAATCTGAAGCTAAACTGAGCTGCCCGAAATTTTGCATGGGGTAAGGGTGCTCATAAATAAAAAGAATACCACTTTAAAAAGCAGACTAAAACGTGCAGTGCTTTGGGCCAATCCTAATGTTCACCCAGGTCCACCTTCCCCTCCCACCAAAAGCAGCCTTGACTGACCTGTGCCCTTGGGAGGCCCAGAGCCCACATAATCAGAGAGGACTGTGCCACTGCTGATGTCGTTGCCTTTCATGTTGACCACCAGAAAATGGTGCCATTCCCTACACGGAGGAACAGAGGATCATCAGCACCACAGGAAACCATGCATTCACTGCGCCAGCAAATGTGTACTGGGCACATCATGCTCCAGGCCAGGCTACAGCATGAACAAGAACAGACATGGTCCCCGCTCTCCTGGCCAGTGCTAGCCTCACATGTATGCAAAAGAGAGGACCCAGCCCCACCCTCCCTGAGATTCTCTATGGCATCCCTTAGCAAACTTTTTAGGAGGGCCAGACAGTAAAGATTTTAGGTTTTTGCAAGTCATACTGTCTCTGTCGCAGCTACTCTGCATTGTAGCTGAAAACAGCCACAGGCAAAACGTAAATAAATAATCATGGCTGTGTTCCAACAAAACTTTATTTAAAATATAGACACTGAAAGTGGAATTCCATATAATGTTCACATGTCACAAAGTATTATTTTAAATTTTTTCCCAATCATTTAAAAACACAGAAACCATTCTTAGGTCACAAGCCATACAAAAAAAGGCTGTGCGTGGATATGGCTCTCAGTTGTTGCTTAAAGACCCCTACTCTAGGGAGGGAAAGAGCAGGAAATACATGCTGATTTAAGCTTGGGTGTGAACATCCCAGACCAGGTCCACTTCTCCTGGACTTACATAATCTGAAAAACGCAGATTATATCTGGATGGCCCATTGTTCCTCATCTTCCCCCAACTTACCTGTATTTGGGGTCCTTCCTGCTGGGGGCATCTGGGTCTGTCAGGACCAAGGTGTAGAGTTTACCTGAATCCAGGCCATCCCATATAATGCTGGTAGGGCGGTTCTTAACCTGTAGTGAGGAACCAGTTTGGAGTTAATTCAGAAATGCTGCAGTGTCCTTTGATCTCACCTTCCTCAAAGGTAAAACAAAGTCAACTATTAAGAAAAGTTAACTTTGTATTGACTCTACTAAACAGCCAGGAACTGAAGTTGTATATACATTATTTAACGCCAAAAACACTGTAAGGGTAACGTCCCAGTACGTCAGTAACACGGAAAGAGGTGGGACCAGGAGTCCAACGCTGGCCTTAACTGAGTCTCCAACCTCAGTGCTCTCCCTCAGCGGAAACGCACAAGACAAGGTCTCTGGAGTTGGTGGACAGGTTACCTGGAGCCTGCTAAAAGGAAATTTCAATTATCTGGGCGTTTACAGCGCACTGGAAATGAGAAAGGGGAGGTGGTGAGGCAGTGAATATGAGAAAAGGGAGGCTGTGTCAGCTCCAAGGTGGTCACTGTTTCAACATTAAAAAAAAAAAAAAAAAAACACCTGAGGCCAGAACAGTTTATTCACACCGTTGTCTGACGCTTCATAACCAGCAACTGCTGATGGTGTCGGGAAATCTAGTTCTCCACTTTGAGCAGCCAGGATCCAGTCATGGCTCTGCCACCGACGCAAGACGCGAAACGGTAAAAACAAGGCTGGCCGTTGCCCTCGAGCCTGCCAGCCACTGAACTTCTGCCAGCCGCAGAACGTACTTATTCACTGTGGGTGGATTCAACCCACGACCGCTGAAACAATGGAGAAAACGCTAGGCATTGCTGATCACCAGTTATATAAGGCGTCATGTGGTCTCGGGTGAAGCTTCTGCTCCCCCAACTGGGGCCTAAACTCCTCAGCCCCAAGGGAAAGGCCCCCTCCCCGTCCCTGCCCCCGTATTCGGGGCTTCTTCCGGGCCTAGGCCCCTTTCCGTGCTTTTAAACCCTGGCAAAGCAGATTAATTTCTCCTGCAGGCCAATCCCGTGCGCCACGTGCCGGGTTCCGGGTGCTCGGGGAGCACTCCAGGCCTGCGGCGCAGCACCGGGACCCGGCTTTCCACTATGGCCCCGGCACACGCAGACAGGAACCCCCTCCACAGGCCCCGCCGGCCTGCACGCCTGCAAGCTTAAAGCAGCTGCACCCACGCCGCCGCGACGGAGCTGAGGAAGCCCCGGCCTCCAGCCGCCTCGGATACCTGGGTGGGCGTCAGCACTTTGCCCAGCTCGTCGATATCTGCCCCGGCGTATTTGACCTGCAGCGGGTGCTGTGGACGCTCATCCACTTCCTGCAGGCTCAAGGGCCCGGACCACTTGCTGAGGTCCACCGGCATCGCGGGGCCGAGCGGAGCGGGCAATCGGGAATGCAGCAACTGGCGAAGCGCGCGACAGCCCAGCAGCACCGACTCAGAGCAGCCCAGCGACAACAGGAGCGCACGCGCCGGAGCACGCTGCTACGCCCCACCCCTGAAGTCACCGGCGAGTCGCGGGCCTCCCTCCGGTCTCTGATTGGTCCAGCTGGGTAGCGCAGGTCGTCTCGCTCTACCGAGTCAATCCAGCGGGTTTCGCCTTTCTTTTGCACGACAGGAACCTACTACCGCTTCCGCTGCCGCCGAGGTCCTTGCAAGTATTGCTAAGCTTGCAAGACCGTTATTTCAAGAATGCAGTTGAACTTTGTATTTGTTTTTAACCTTTTTGCATATTTCATTGCTCCACGTTCAAAATTCAGAAATGAAACGACTTTTTCGTACGTCCTGTAACAGGCCCGCTCCCTGTACTTCTGCGCATACTCACTTGTTTCGGGGGAGAGCCTTGAGCAGATTTTCCAGCGTTTTCTTCTCTCCCTCCCTCTCTCCTTCTCCCTCCCCCTCCCAGTTCTCCTCCCCCGGCATGTACCCACGTACGTATATACATATATGTACATACAGATATATATTTGCACATATTTTTCATCCTCCCACTTGATCCTCACGAGATACCTGCAAAATTATTTTTTCCTATTTTATTGACAAGTGGCTCTGCCTCCACCAAAACTGTTCTCACTATAGCCAGCAACTGCTTTCTTTTTACTAAATACGGTATTGTTGTTAGGTGCCAACCGGTCAGCTCATAGCGACCTAGTGTAGAACAGACCGAAATGTTGCCCTGTCCTGCGTCATCCTCACGATGGTTGCTATGTTTGAGCCCACTGTTGCAGCCACTGTGTCAATCCACCTCATTGAGGGTCTTCCTCTTTTCATTTGCCCTCTAACTTACCAAGCATGATGTTCTTCTCTTGGGATTGGTGCCTCCTGATAACATGTCCAAAGTATGTGAGACAACCATACTTGCTTCTAAGGACTATTCTGGCTGTACTTCTTCCAAGACAGATTTGTTCATTCTTCTGGCACTCCATGGACAGTGAATAAGGAAGACTGAAAAATTGATTCATTTGAATTATGGTGTTGGCAAAGAATATTGGGTATAAAACCAAACCAAACCTGTTACGGTTGAGTCGATTCCAACTCATAGCGACCCTATAGGACAGAGTAGAAGTGCCCCATAGAGTTTGCAAGGAGCGCCTGGTGGATTCAAACTGCTGACCTTTTGGTTAGCAGCCGTAGCTCTTAATCACTACGCCACCAGGATTTCCATTGGGTATACCATGGACTAAATATAATAGGCACTTTCTAATGATCCTTACCTGATTTGGCCCTAGGACAGTCTTTGACATTTAAAACTACCTCCTAGGGACTAAAATAATTGTCTGTTGTTTTCATTTCTTATTAGGAAATAATACAACTTTACTGTAGAAAATTCAGAGGGAAAAAAAAAAAGTAAATAAAAGACTTGTATTCCACTACCTGAATATAAACATAGGTAATTTAGAGTATGTATTTCCTGTTTAGAAAGCAATGGGTATAGATAATTTTGTGTTTTCACACAAAAATGACATTATACTCTACCATTATAGAATATCCATATCAAATATAGATCTTCATCATTTTATGGCTATTCTACTATAGTTGTGCCATAATTTATTCAACAAACCTTTGGTGTTTGACATTTCGGTGGTTTAGTTTGGTTTTCCTTTTACAAATATCTCTGAAAGAACGTGCTTGTACATATGTTTTTACACATCTAGCAGATTGTTTTAGGAAAATTTACTAGAAGAAGGCTTTGTAAGCCAAAGATATGTACTTTAAAGTCACAAATGAATAAAAGAAAGAAATGGAATGCAGTGACTGACTCCAAGCCTCACTGCTAGTAAAGTGTGAGAATCTAGACTGGAAGCAATGCCTTCAAAGAAGTACTGATATAAGCTCCAGAAATACATCTTGAGAACCTTCTAAGCAAAAGCAGTAACAGCCCCTACCCTCATGGAGGATATGCTCTAGCAGTGGAGGGAGACTTAATCAATGACACTGGATAAATGCAGAATTTCCAACTGTGATAAGGGCCAGGGAGAAAAGACAGGCCCAGGATGTGGGCCAGCATCACAGAATAACCTGAATGAGTTCTGCACTAACTCCCCGTGTGTCCTCTGCAAGGTCACCTTCACCTTCTCTTTACCTGAGGCTCAGGGCAGGCTGCTGCAGTGAGAAGATGAGGTAATGGATGCAAAATCTCTTGGGAATTGTAGAAAGAAATTGTAGACATTTCTGCTCCTGGCTACCATTCTTATCCCTTCCTTCCCCTAACAAGAAATTGGTCACCAGCTCTATAAATTCTACCTTCTTAATGCCCTTCTAATCAGTCTACTTCTCTTCCCCATACCGCCACTGCCTAGTGAGGCCCCTATATCGCTCTATTTGACCACTACTACCTCTGAGCCTTTGCACATGCTGTTCCCTCTGACTATTCCTGCCATCTCCCCAACCTTCCCTATAGTCTTGTCCCAGCTTACATTTGCTCATCTTAAACATCATTTCTGCCTTCTCCTATCCATCATGACTGATGGAAATGCCCTGTCTCTGCATTCACATCCACCCTGTCTTTCCTCTTTCTTAACACTCAGAGCATTTGGAATTGCTGAACCACCCCCCCTCATCCCCCCTGCACACACACATCTGCACACTTGAATATAAACCCCATGAGGGTGGTCTCCTTGTTCACTGGTCATATCCCCAGCACTTAAAATAGGGTCTGACATACTTGGTACATGATATTATCATTATAAGAAAATGAGTGAATTTTTAAAAAATCATCTGGTTGGTTTTAGGTTCAGGTCATTAAAGCTTCATTTTCTCATAAAATATCACATTCAGAGATGTCTTAGGGTGGGTTCTCTGGAGAAACAAAACTAGTAAAGCATATAAATATATATAACCTGCTGCCATTGGGTGGATTCCAACCCATAGAGACCCTAGAGAACAGAGTAGAACTTCCCTATAGCGTTTCCAAAGAGTGGATGGTGGACTTGAACTGCCGACCTTCTGGTTGGCAGCCATATCACTTAACTACTACGCCACCAGGGCTTGATTTACATTAAGGAGACGGCTCACGAAGTTGTAGAGGCTGGAACATCCCAAGTCCATGGCTCAGGATAGAGGCTTCTCCTGTTTCAGTAGCCACAGGCATTGACGAACCCAAGTTTGGCAGGTCAGAGAGCAGGGCTCTTGCTCACAAGCTGCAAAGATCAACGAATCCCAAGATTGACAGGCAAGACAGCAGGTAATCTGCTAGCTCAAGTCATGAGAACCAGAGGTCAGATGAATAGGAGCCAGCTGCAGGATCCAGAGTGAGCAGCCCATGAGCCCTGCCAGAATATCCGCTTATATTTGATGCAGGCCACACGCCCAAGGAAACTCCCTTTCAACTGACTGGCTATTCACAGCAGATCCCATCAAGGAGGTGATCACATTCTATCAAATCTCATCATGGAAGTGATCACAACATCATACGCCTGCCAAACCACTGAGAATCATGGCCCAGCCAAGTTGACACACAACCCTAACCATCGCAAGTGAAGACAGGCCACTTCAACTATAATTCCAACATCAGAACCTCCTTAATTAGCAACAGTTGGAAAAACCATAATAACAGATATAATCCCACAAGCCAGACGTTTAAAAATGAAAACAATTATTTGTCTGAAGAGATGATTGTACAGAGAAAATTCTCAGAAAGAAAGATTTTTAAAACTTGTTTTGAGCTTTTTTCTGAGGCTAAGCACAGATGCTCATTAGAAGTTTAAGAGATGGGAATGACTTTAATGGAGTGCCTGAACCCATTGCCAGTTCAGTCGATTTGGACTCTTAGTGGCCTTGTGGGACAGAGTAGAACTGCCTCATAGGGTTAAAGAAGGCGTGATGGCACAGTGGTTAAGTGATCGGCTGGTAACTCGCTCTGCGGGATAAAGATGAGGCAGTTTGCTTCCATAAAGATTACGGCCTTGGAAATCCCATGGGGCAGTTCTGCTTTTTCCTGTAGGGTTGCTAAGAGTCAGAATCAACTCAACAGCAATGAATTTGGTTTAATCTGTACGGAAGAAGACTGCCACATCTTTCTCCTGCAGAGCAGCTGGCGGGTTTGAGCCATCAAACTTTTTGATCAGCAGCTGAGCTTTTAACCACTGCACTACCAGGGCTCCTTAATGCAGTACCTATTGTGTGAAAAATGCTTAATATGCCTTAACTCCCATACCCCAGTCCTGGGCAGGCCAAGTTCTTCTCCTTGCTTTATAAAGCAAAAAAACTAAACCCGTTGCTGTTGAGTAGATTACAACTCATTGCAACCCTACAAAACAGAGTAGAATAGCCTCATAGGGTTTCCAAGGAGCAGTCGGTGGATTTACTGCCAACCTTCAGGTTAGCAGCAAAGCTCTCAGCCACTGCACCACCAGGGATAAGGCAATTTATAGATAAGGTAATATACACTTACTATGGGTCAAAATCAACTCGTCAGCAATGGGTTTTTTGTTTTGGAGTGAAGGCTTATGAAGTGATTGAGAGTGACCTCTAAATGGCTGATCTGCCCCAGCCTGCTACCCTTCTTCTCTAACAGCCCTGGGCTGCTCTCCCCACCCAGGTGAGTGAACTGGTACCACTTCAGCTAAAACAATGGTTGGAACTAACCAAACCATATTTACTGAGCACCTACTGTGTGCGGGTCAATGTGTTCCAGTAATGACCACTACTGTTTACTGACCATTACCACTGCCCAACATGCCAGACCTTGACACTCAGCATCTCATTACATCCTCACATCAACCCCGTTAGGGAGGTACCACCATCATCCCCATTTTACAGATAAATAAGCTGAGGCTTGGAGAGGTATAAGTGGAAAAGGAGAATAAAAGTCTGTCTGTCTCCGAAGGCCGTCCTCATGCATGCTGTGGCTAGGAGTGTTCGGAACAGGGGTGAGCCAGGCATGGGCTCTGCCCTCTAGAAAGCTGTCCCCTAGGGAAGGAGTTATAAGGAAAATTACTGTGGCAGCCATGA